AAACAATGTTTCCTATGTATCAGTTCTGAGCAAAATATTTAATTATTCATCAGTACTTCATTTTGTAGAATAAAAAAGTATACTTGTAATGTTTGATAGGGTACTCAGTCTGGAGATAGAAGAAAAACAAGTCCTTAAAGAAAATAATTACTAATAAAATGGAGACATAAAAATAAAGGATTAGTGCAGAATACATGTGGGGAGAGAAATAATCTGTATAAATTCAAGAGAGATCAACTTGTTCTGTGCACATATCGAAGAAAAAAGAATCTAGAAGTCAAACTGACGATAGTAGTGATTTTGCACTTAGTTAACTGTAAACCAAGTCTCCTGTTCATGATTTTTTAGGCCCTCATTGGATGATTACGTCTGGCATTATACTCTGCACTGTACAAAATGTGTGGGGACTTTTTTTTTTAGAAGTTAAGGTAAAAGAAAAAAGGTAGGTCAAGGGATTAAAGAATAAACTGATGAGGAAAGATTAATATATTCATTTGCTCATTTCATGAACATTTATTGAGCACACACTATATGCAAGACAGTGTGATAGGCGTTCAGTGAAAGATATAGTACTTGCCTACAAGAAGTTTACAGTCTTAGTAGAAGAGACAGGTAAGTACATATAGTGTATGCTCTGCCACAGTAGTTGAAAAGAGGGGCACCTAAATCCCATCTGAGGAGTTGGGGAGGTTTCCTGAAGAAGAGGAACTGAGTCTTAAAGGTTGACAGGGTTTCCTTTTCCTATAAGATTCCAGACTAAATAATCTGAAAATTCTTCCACCACACAACACCCAGAAATGCAGAATAAAATATAACAAGCATCTCTTTAAATGCATAACAGAGTTTACATAAAGGCAAGGTAACTCTCCAAGGGCCAAAACAAACACAGCTAAGAAACAAAGTAGTAAGCCTTAAAGTTTTAAAAAACCCAAAGCTTTAAAAAGAAAGTGATGTGTCGTCGCTGGGCTGCACTGAAAGGATTTGTCCATCTCAATTCCCATGGGGTGGAGATCTCAAAGAACGTCAACCATCATCAGGGAAAAAGTATACTAAAAAAATCTGCCCATCAACACAGAGTTGACATGGAGAGTTTGTCTTGGCCTGTGCTCCAAGCCCAGGAGTGGGAGGTAGAGTGGGAGAGATGTTTGCTTTTTTTAAATTTACACTGCTTACATGTTCAAAAATCTCCAAGCTAAGAAATTAATATAAGGATCTCAGACTGAATATCTCTGCGATGCCTGGCAGAAATAAAAGCAAAATCTTTCTGACGGGACAGATCTTCAATCCAGGGAACACAGCACAGAACTTTTCACAGATAAAGGCCCACTTAAAATGAATTTACAGTCCAAGATTATAAAGCACACAGGAAGCAATCAACAATAAGCAAATCTCAAGCGGCACAACAGACATCATGTGTAGCATCACCCTGCCTCCTCTCAGTGAACTCAAAATATAGGGACTATAAAATAAGACTGTTTAAAATGCTCAAATATATAAAAGATGAATCTGAAAATATTTTCTTAAGACACTATCTTTGAAAGGTTGGAGGATAGTTTTCAAGAAGAGTGAAGAGCGTTTATAGCTATGGGAGTCCAACAGGTATTCTTTTTTATTTTGTGAGGAAGATCAGCCCTGTGCTAACATCCATGCCAATCCTGCTCTTTTTGCTGAGGAAGACCGGCCCTGAGCTAACATCTATTGCCAATCCTCTTCCTTTTTTTCCTTTTTTCTCCCCAAAGCCCCAGTAGGTAGTTGTATGTCATAGTTGCACATCCTTCTGGTTGCTGTATGTGGGACCCCACCTCAGCATGGCCTGACAGGCGGGGCATCGGTGCGCGCCCGGGATCTGAACCTGGGCCACCAGTAGCGGAGCGCGCGCACTTAACCGCTAAGCCATGGGGCCAGCCTCGCAATAGGTATTCTAATTGGGAATTTGCAGTCACAAAATTGGGAGGAGAAGGAGTTGGAAAGATGACCAAGGCTCAGGTCATAAATTGCCTTGTGTTCTGTATTAGTGAGAACTCTTGTTTGTAAGTGACAGGAAGATCACATTTGGGGAGTATTTTGTTGTTTTTGCCTAACCTAACTGAGAAAGGCAAGGCTAGAGTTGGAATGACAAGAACCAGAGACTCCCATTCTCTCTTCGTTTCTCCCTGCTGCTTTTTTCTTTGAATACTTCATTCTCTCCTGCTGCAGAGAGGTTTTCTCCAAGAAGTGAGGAATGTTGCCACTTACAATTTTTGGCTCACACCTTTTAGTTTTTCTTTTCTTTTTTTTTTTAAATTGTGGTAAAATATACATAACATAAAATTAACCGTTTTTAAGTGTGTAGTTCAGTGGCGTTAAGTATATCCACGTTGTTGTGCAAACATCACCACTGTCCATCTCCAGAACTTCATCACCATCCCAGACTGAAATTCTGTACCCATTAAACAATAACTCCCCATTCCTCCCTCCCCGGCCCCTAGTAACCACTATTCTGTTTTCTCTCTCTATGAATTTGACTACTGTAAGTACTTCATAAAAGTGGAATAATGTCCTTTTGTCCTTTTGTGTCTGTCTTATTTCACTATACCATTTTCTATTGATCAGAGAGGAAAGGGCCTTCTCTGTACACACATTTCCCTCCCCTAGCTCCATTTTTTAAAATCCTGAGAGAAAACTCTTAATTGGCTTGGCTTGAGTGACATGCTTACTTTCAGACCAGGAGGGCGATGGGTGCTCATTTGCTCAGCTTGGGTTATATGGCTATCCTAGAATCTCCCCCAGATCTCTGTGTAAACATACTTTCTCATAGAGTCCTTCCTTGTCCTCTCTATCTAAAATAGCACCCCACATCACTCTAGACTCTTATTCTGCTTTTTTTTTCAGAGCACTTATCACTGCCTGTTAAATATATTTATTTGCTTATTACTTCCCCTACCACTAAAATGTAAGATTTATAACATCTGGGACCTTCTCTGTCTTGCTCACTTCTGTGTTCCCAGTGCCTACAACAGTGAATGGGACATAATAGGAGCTCAATAAATATTTTTAATTAGTTAATTGGAAATAGGGCTAGAGACATTCATTTAGTATTCACTGGTAGAGTGATTAAAAGAAATTAAGTATGCTTCCACTTCCCTAGTGAAGATAAGCAATTAGAAATCGAAAGAAACTGAACTTTGAGTATGTTATGAACACAGTGATTAAACAAGAAAGTTATGCACAAATAGCAAGAGAACTACACCTTCTAAAGATGCATAATTGTAGAAAATAGAACCTTGCATGATGGATGCATAAGTAGAGTCCTGAAATGGCAATAGATTAAGCCCTTTCTGCAATTGCTTTCTATTGCTGGACATTGAAACTATAAATGTGAATGTATAAACCCATGAGGTGTGTGTATACGTGCACACACATATCTACACACATACATATACTTTTACTGATTAACATTGGAAACTGGCAAAGTAGGTAAGAGTCTAAAGCCATAATGGCCAGTACAGTTCTTTCAAAATTGCCCTTGGCTATGGCCAGGCACATCAAAATACTCTGGAGCACAACTTCCCATTGCTGCGCTGCCCTACATAAGCATCACTTGGATCCTGTTTACTCTAGCTGCCTGAGCTCTCTTCTCCTACCTGTCCTTAACCTTAAGGGCAGGGCAAGGCAAGGGGGGGAGCAGGGAGCAAGGTAGGGACTGTATCGAAAAAGACCAGAAAGAAGTTGGCAAAACTGGTCTCTTCCTGACTTCTTGGTGCTGTTTTCCATCTTTTACTCCACTTAGAGTTCATTATTCTTATGATGCTTAATGGACATCCCAAACTTAGCCACTGTTGCCCCTCAGCCAAGTCTACCCTACTCTCAGGGTCCTTTTAAATTACTTCTTTCATATCTCCGCCCACCCACCCACCCACACCTCACCTCCAAATCCAATGAGAACTCCCATGTCCTGGTAGGAGAACAATTTAATTAAACTATATTGCTTCAAGATTGTCTCCCCACCCCCACCAGCTGTCACCCCTACCAAGCTTCTCCCTTACTATCTATATGAATCAGAAAATAAGTTCCCATTGGCAGCTTTTTAGTTTTTTTCTAAGGAGATTAAATAGAACCATAGCCAAAGAGTTCTGAGAGCCAATCGCCACATTCAGCTTTTAGGAAGTGGGAAAGGTAGATATGGTGTGCCCAAGAATAGTTGATTTGTCATAATACCACCCTCTCCCGGTTATTCACAATAATAGTTAAGCATTTATTCTTGATTACCAGGGCCATAATAATGGCCGTGCATATTACTAAGTGCATATCAAATTAATTACTAAATTCTATTTTTCACCTGTACTTAAGAAGTAGCAGTGCTAAAAAGTACTCATGTGCTGTAATTAGTATATATAGCTAGAATATCTTGATTTTTGAAAGAATAAAAAAATTAACTGAACTGTTGGAGTTTCCTGAGTTATCTATGGGAACATTTGATTTTCTTAACTTCTGGGACTTTATGTGCTTTGAAATCACATTTCTTTATGATATTTGATCTGATTAGGAAACCTAGTATTATGAACATGGAATTTGTGAATCTTTGAAAACGGATTTAAAGAGCTACTAACTCTTACTATAAATCACAGACTTCTTACATAGATTTGAGGATAAGCTTAGAAAAACATTATAATACTAGCCAAGGTAAATGATGTACAGTGTCAATTTTTCTGCCACTAATTTGGTAATCAAACTGCTATATTTTAATGGGTTCCCTTTGGTTTAGTATTTGCAGATCTGGTTATCCTGTCACTCTACTGTAGCTGCTGCAATGCACAAGTTACCATTCAACATTCTCCTCTTCTCCAAGATAGAGAGCTCGGGCAAAAGTTACTGTGAGGCTCCAAGAACTGACTTCTTTTCCTGTATCTGATAAACCTATGGAACTTTGGTATATCAGATATATTTGCTATAGCTTATGTACTTTCATACTTTTGCAATAACTTAAAACTTATAAAATGTATTATTTGTTTCTTTTATAGGACAATGAAGGTCAAACAGCTCTGCATTATGGTAAGATGTTTCTAAACTTTTAGTAATCATATTTGAAACTTTTCTCTATTTGTTTATCTCAACTTCGTCTAACCCTATGTAGTGCTTAGAAAAATGCCTGGCCAATAGCAGAGATACAGTAACTTTTTGCTTAAAAAACAGATTAATAACCTCTAAAGCTGGAGATATATTAAAATTCTTATGGGCACATTCATACTAGATTGAGTATTTCTATACTATCAACAGAAATGGAGGCTCCTCCAACCCCTCTTTGAAAATTTATTATTTCATTCTTGGTACTGTCAGTGACAACTAAGATGCCAATCATTGTCACTGTAGGAGCTAGAATCTTCTCCCAAAAGAAATACTTTCTTGATATAATTGAAGTGAAAAAAATAGATTTTGTTTTTTAACTCTTTTTCCCAACTAGCTGATTAGCCTATTTAAGTAATGTTCACTTAAGTAATCTATAAAACAGAGGAGGATAATCTGTAAGGTGGAAATAATATGGCTCTTAAAGAGCTACTGGGTAATTTCAGTGAGATATAAGATATTGAAGTATTTGTAAACTGTAAGGTATTAGTAAAAGTATTCTTTTATTCTAGTTGGGTGTGAATATATTGAATAAAAGACAGCCATCAACATTTAAACCAGATTAGGGATCAGCCACCTTCAGACTTTTTGGGAGGGAATTCATTAGGCTGTTTTGCTGGTTTTGGCAATTGTAGACCACCATTTAGCAATAAGTGGCCCAGGTGCCCCCGGGCACTTTTGTCCACTGCTTAGCATTTGGTTGGTCAGGACCCTCACTGACTATTGGGAGTCTAGGTAGGAGTGTAAACTATTGGGCTAACTATTATGCTAACTATATTTATCAGCCTGATAATGAATAGTGAAATGTCACCAAACGCGCATGCCCCAACTCATTTATGAGTTTAGCTAGCTATAACCTGAGTACCAAAACCAGCAGGAAAAGGAAAATTGTGAGTCAGTCTCATTTATAAACATATATGTAAAAATCATACATAAAATATTAGCAAATGAAATCCATCGTATTTTAAAAAGAAAGATATGATCGAGTTGAATTTATCCCAGGAATTTAAAGATGATTTAACATTTTAAAAATTTATTAATATAATTTGCCACATTAGCAAATTAGTTGAAAAACCATATGGTCAAATTAAATGCAGAAAAAGCATTTAAGGAAATTCAACACTCATTCTAAGAAGCAGTATAGAAAACTGATTAAGACTCGGGCTCTTAAACCAGACTTCTGGATTCAAATTCTGATTCTACTACTGAATGTGGACAGATTATTTTACTTCATTACACCTGTTTACTCATGGTGAAATAGGGGTAATGACCTCAGAGATTTGTTATGAGCATATAATGAGTTAATCCATGTGAAGTTCTTAGAACAATGTCTGACACCTGGTATGTACTGAATAAATGTTAGCTAATAATATTTTTTATGATAAAAGCTCTTAATGAACTACAAATGGAAGGAAACTTCTGTGGCCTGATTAAGTTATATATCAAAAACCTAGTGTGAACATTATTATTAAAGGTGGATTATTTGAAGCATTTCCTTTAAAATCAGGAACAAGAAAAGGATGCCTACCATAACTATTACTCTTTAATATTGTATTGGAATTCTAGACTACACAGAAAGAAAAGCAAAAGAAATAAAAGGTACATGGGATAGATAAAAAGAAAGAAAATCATCATTAATCTCAAACAATGTAAGTTGCTACATAGAAATCCAAGAGACTCCACAGTCAAGTTATTAAAACTAATAATATAGTTTAGCAAGGATGCTGAATACAAGATCAATTTTTTAAAATTACTTTTTTTTTTTGGTGAGAAAGATTCACTCTGAGCTAACATCTGTTGCCAATCTTCCCTCGTTTTTTTTGCTTGAGGAAGATTAGTCATGAGCTAACACCTGTGCCAGTCTTCCTCTATTCTGTATGTGGGTCGCTGGCACAGCATGGCTTGACGAGTGGTGTAGGTCTGCGCCTGGGATCTGAATCTGCGAACCTGGGCCGCCAAAGCAGAGCACATCAGACTTAACTGCTACGCCAACGGGCCGGCCCTAAAATTGCATTCTTAAACATTGGCATAAAAAAATAGAAAACAAAAAATTTTAAAGATACCACTTAGAACAGCAACAAAATCCTAGAACTCTACCTAACAAAAGATATGCAAAACCGTCATAGAAAAAATTACATTACTTTTTTTAAAGACTTTTTTTTTAAAGATCTAAATGAGAAATAATCCATGTTAATGAATAGGAAGACTCAGTACTGTAAAGATGGGTTCTCCTCAGGCTAAACTACAAATTCAGAGAATTTTCATAAGAATCTCAGCAAGTTAACAAGCTTGTCCTAAAGTTTGCATGGGACAACAAAGAGCCAAGAATATCTAAGGCACCTGGAAGAAAAATAAGGAAGAGAGACTTGCTCTTCCAAATATCAAGATGTTATTTTAAAGCTATAATAATGAAGGCAGAGATTGAAGGCAGAGATTGACTTCTGCTGTGACAGTGTGAGAAGCTCCACTGACCTGCCCCCCTGTGAAACTAAAGAAAATTATTTTTTAAAATACAACCATTTAAAGCTTCTAGAAGTGGTCCTAAGGAAAAACAGCAAATGAAGAGACATTTCTTCAGAAAATCTGTGAAAATTTGGTGAGAAGGTAAGAGTCTGTGGTATTTGAAACAGGATCACTCCCTCCCAGCTCAGCAGGGCAGAGTCTCTAGTCCAGAATACAGTAGCCGAGAACACAGGACGCTCTTCTCCCAGCTCCCCATCAAAGGGCTTTCTTCCTGGGAGGAGTAGGACTTCAGCATTTCTCATCTTGCCTTCAGCTGTCTGTTGCTGGGGCTAAGTCCTGGGGAAGTGCAGTCAAGAGATGGGGGCTCCCTTATTCTGCCCAGCCTGCTGGGGTGAAATGGAGGCTCTACCTTGGATGTGGTGCGCTGAGAATACTGAGGCCCTGATCACCATTGCCCTGGCTGTGAGGTGATGGTTCCATTCCAGGAGATGCAAGCCAAGGGGCCCTCAGGCTGCTGCCCCCACCATCACCACCAAGCACTCAGCTCCTAGAACATGGGGGTATTACTCAGAGAGAAGTTTGCTGTTGTCCGCACTCCCAGCTCCAGAGCTCTGGCTCAGACACTTTCCCTGCGGAAGAAGCAGGCCGTAAAACAGATAGCTCTTAATCTTTTCCCGAAGGAACCAACTTCATTTGCAACAGAGCCTGGAGAAGTTCAAGGCTAAGGGTACTCTCAAGAATAGTAGGGAGAATGGGAGAATAAGATAGCTAGGAGGAGGCTTCCTGGGTCAGAACAAGTATCAAACACTGTTGACCTTCAGAGAAACCACAATTTGATTAGATTAGTTGATAGAGCAATTTATGCCCCAATTGAATGTTTTTCTTTGAGCACTTTGAATATATTATCCCATTGTCTTCTGAGCTTGAATATCTATTTATAGATACAGAAAGAAATCTATATCTCTAATATATATCTAGCAAAGCTATCTTTCAAAAATGAAGATGGGATAAAAGTTTTCCCAGATAAACAAAATCTGAGAGAATTCACTGCTAGCAGACCCACCTTACAAGAAATACTAAAGAAAGATATTCAGATTGAAAGCAAATGACCCTATATGGTAATTCAAAGCCACATGAAAAAACAAAGAGCACTCGTAAAGATAATTATGTATTTATAAAAGACAGTATAAGTGCATGCTTTTTCTCCTTTCTTAACTGATTTAAAAAGCAATGTGTAAAATAATATGTATATAATGTATTTTTGGGCCTATAACATACAGAAGTATAGTATATTTGCCAATAACAGCCCAAAGGAGGTGGATGAGAGCAAAGTTACAATGGGCTAAGGAAATGACTACAGATGTTAAAGTAACTGTAACAATGTATTATTGGATTTGTAACATTAATAGATACAACATATATAACAATACTACCACCAAAAGAGGGAAAAATAGAATAGAGCTATATGGGAGTAATGTTTCTATATATCACTGGAATTAAGCTAGTATAAATCGGAAGCTGATTCTGATAAGATGCATATGGTAAACCCTAGAGCAATCACTAAAGAAAAACTTAAAATAGACAATTCAAAAATAATAGTTGGAGACTTCGGTACCCCACTTTCAGTTATGAATGGAACAACTAAACAGAAGATGAACAAGGAAATAGAAGACTTGAACAGCACTATAAACCAACTAGACCCAACAGACATCTATAACACACTCCATCCAGTGACAACAAAATATACATTCTTCTCAAGTACTCACAAAGCATTCTTCAGGATAGATGATATGCAGGCCATAAAACAGCCTCAATAAATTTAACAGGATAGAAATAATAAAAAGCATATTCTCCAACCACAATGGAAGGAAATTGGATAACAAGAGCAGGAAAAAATTTGAAAACTCACAAATATGAGAAAACTAGACAACACACTCTTAAATAACCAATGAGTCAAGGAATAAAGCAAAAGAGAAATCAGAAAATACTTTGAGATAAATGAAAATGAAGACAAAACATACCAGAACTTCTGAAGTGCAGCTAAAGCAATGCTTACAGGGAAATTTATAGCTGTGTAAATGCCTATGTTAAGAAAGAGGCAAGATCTCAAATTAATAACCTAATTTTCTGCCTTAAGACACTGGAAGAGAATAGCAAATTAAGCCTAAAGAGGGAAATAATAAAGATTAGAGTAGAAACAAATGAAATAAACAATAGAGAAAATCAACAAAACCAAAAATTAGTTCTTTGAGGCAGAAGAACCATCTGGTCAACCCACAGAATTGTGAAAAATAATGCATTGTTGTATTTAAGCCATGAGATTTTGGGTGGTTTGTTACACAACAATAGATAACCAAAACAACTCATCCTACACGTAAGTGAGTTTCAGGTAAATTGAATACGTAAATAGGGAAAAGCAAAATTTTAAACTTGTAGACGAATATATAGAGTAAGGAGTGATTTCT